GCGTTTGACGTGACAAGCAATGTTGGGAAAATATCGACGGAGATTTATCGATATTCGATTCCACTTACGAAAATTTTACTGGTGGTGGGACCTCTTGTGAGTCCACACGGGGAGATAGCACCACCCCACCTATTTCTCTCGTAAAGCAGTAATGCGTTTCGGCTTGAAGGGTGGGGCAGCCGTTGTAACTATACTGAGACCTTAGAACTCATTACTCAAGGTGGGTGGAGGAAAAATTATAATTTGCGTAATTACTGGTGGTAGGAAGTCTTGTGAGTCCGCGCGGTTAGGTACCACTACTCTGTCTATTTCTGCCGTGAAACAGTAATGAGTTTTGGTTCGAAGGGTGGGGCAGCCGTTGTAATTATACTATACACTATCTATACTAGATGTGTATGGGCTGCAGTAACCATTTAACACCAAGTGGGTCGTGAGCTCGTCCATCCATCTGAGCAATACCTAAATAAATAAAAAATATAGGCGGTTTTAGGTCTATATAAATGGAGAATGCTCTTGTATTCATCCATCGATGATGTTCATTTATTTTCCGTTCTCTCTGTCTGTCTGTTCATCCTGATTTAAATCTAGCAAACGCTGATCACATCTTATGCAGTAGACGTTATGGGCCATGATAACTGCCTACCCTAATCTATGGGGGTAAATGACAAAGGGTAGATCTTCCACCGAGCGGGTGATATTGAACTTGGGAACTTGTATATATGCGAGCTTATCTTGAAAATGTCGTAAGCGAGATTCAGGCACCTGTCAAATATCTTGTGTTTTGTGATGGCTACCCCCCACAAATCGTTTGCTAAAGTTTTTTTTTTTTCTTCGAAATCTTGTGAATAAATGAGAGTACCAAAAAAAAAGTTGGGCGATTCTACAACCATGCATAATTAAAAAAATATTAAACTAATCCAATCTTGGAAAAAATTCGTCCGTCCCTAGTACATTCGTCTGAAGCTGATCCCTAGGGGCGCGCCCTGAGGTCAACGCTAATTTATTCATTGCTCATTTTCCACTGTCACTTCGACTTCAAAAAAAAAAAAGACTGTCTATTTGGTACCTAAAATTTACGCGACGAAAATTAACGAGGCCTTTCCATTGAAAACGGGAGGGAAAGATGTAATCTACATGTATTTTTTTTATAGAGCCAACATATTTTTCGAGCAAAAAAATTCGCAGGTAAATTCCTGCTTTGAGTAGGTTTTAAGAGCGAAGCACAAATTCAATTCAAATTCAAATTCAAAACCATTTATTTCAACTAAGATGTCAGTATGACACACTTGTTGAATGTCAAAATATAGATAACAATGTTAACTCTACCACCGGTTCCAAAAAAAGCCACACACAGACGTTTGTATTTTGTTAAATGTCAATAGATGATCTTTCGCATAGTAGAGTTCGCGGAGTAGAGTTCATCCATACTACCTGGAACCACTGCGTTCATCCACAGTGCGTTTCCAGAGATATTTTTTGCCACGTACCATCCGGCTATGGAATGAGCTCCCCTCCACGCTGTTTCCCGAGCGCTATGACATGTCCTTCTTCAAACGAGGCTTGCGGAGAGTACTTAACGGTAGGCAGTGGCTTGGCTCTGCTCCTGACATTGCTGAAGTCCATGGGCGACGTTAACCACTCACCATCAGGCGGGCCGTATGCTCGTCTGCCTACAAGGGCTATTAAAAAAAAAGCATTATTTATTAAGCAAAGTCAAGTTATCATAAACGAACCGTAATATTTTACATTAGCTCCAAGGAAGCTTAACTAATAACCACACTTTTTGTGATCATAATGATATATAGTCACCGTTATTGAAGAACCAAAACGGACATCCTATATACAATCTGTTAAAACTTGTGAAATATATTCTCAACTTACAACTATTTCTTTATTTATTGCTTAGATGCGTGGACGATCTCACGACCCACCTGGTGTTAATTGATTACTGCAGCCCATAGACATCTACGACGTAAATGAGCCACCCACCTTGAGATATAAGTTCTAAGGTCTCAGTTTTTACAGTACAACGGCTGCCCCGCCCTTCAAGCCGAAATGCATTACTGCTTCACGGCAGAAATAAACAGAGTGCTGGTACCGCGCGGACTCACAAGACTTTTGCGGGTTTTATTTTTTGTTACACCTTTATTCCTTCACCGTGGAAGTCAATCGTGAACAATTGTTAAGTACGTATTTCATTAGAAAAATTGGTACTTGCCTGCGAGATTTGAACAGTACTCAAAATATGAATTAATAGACACTTAGGTATTGAATAGTGGTTACCGCGAACGATCTTGTACAAAAAGTCAAATATTTATAATAGAAAAAAAAACATGGCGCCTATATTATGTATAAAGAGAGTGAAGAATCCAATATCAGTTCCATCTCTAACTGGCAGTATAACTTAGACCCCAAGTATTTAGATGAAGTGAAATCATAATAATATAATATTCTGAAATCTTCAAAGTTAAACCTTCAAAAGGCAGCCATTACGATTGGTAGACAGGCTTAACATTGTACCAACGTTAACAATTATTCTGCCAAATTTAGATCCAGAGGCTTAAATATTGTTTTGTTACAATCATAATGTACATTACAATTACGACGAAGATTAATAAGGTAAGGTAATCTTGTGTTCCTAGTCTCGGTTTGAATAACGGTTAGATTATTCCGATCTTCAAACTGAAGAGCATGTTTGCTTCGCGGGAGAAGCAAAAAAGACCATGGTCAAATCTTGTTTGAGGTCACAGCATGCAAATTCGTAAATTTTGCGAGTGCGATAATAATAGGTTGGGAAAAAGTTCTTCGCATTTTTTAAGAAAATTCACAACATTTTTTAATATAGTTTATTTACATTTAACTAAAGTATGTAGGTACCATTTTGTTTGATAACTTTTTGCCATCTTGTAGGTAGGGACATGATCCCATTGCTATAGAAATTTTGGGGCTTCTGATAAAAATACCGCGACAATTGGTTTTGGCAGTCCTCTCGTGATGTTAACCTGACACTGCCTAAAGAATTCTGAAGAGACCTTGTACCTTCAGGTGCAAGGTCAGGACTATACGGCGGATGCATTAACACCTCCCAGCCAAGCTCACTTAATTTTTGCTGAGTGGCTAAAGATATTGTGAGGTCTAGCGTTGTCATGATGAAAAACCACACCCCTTCTGTTGATTAATTCCGGCCGCTTTCTCTCAACTTCTTGCTTTAATCTTATCAGTTGTTCGCAGTAGAGCTCAGAATCGATGGTCCTGCCTTAAACTGCTGCCACAGCATTAAAAATAAATAAAAGTCACACATTTTCCTAATTTGAATTTGGATTTGAATTTGAATCTTCTTTAAAATTTAAACTTTTAATGATACCAAAGCTAGCCAGATACAAATAGTATATATATATATATATATATATAGCCAAAGAGATTTTATTACAAGTTCATACATACTATAATGCGAAAAGACTTTTTCCCCAACCTTATATTTTATATTGTTACACGCTGAGGCTCGAGATAAATAAAACATTCACCGAAGCATAAATTAAAACTCTATTAAACACTTACAATCCTGAAAGTACGCTTCACAAATCGAAATTCACTTCTACCGCTTCGCTTCAGGTAATCCGTTCGCTATCTCGCTTCAACGTCAACACGACATCTCTACAATTTACGTAAACATTTCTGATAGTACGCTAATCGTATCGATATTCAGTTTCGCTATTTGACAATAGATGGCGTAGCACTTCTCGAACGTACCCGATAGTACCAGTCGTTTTGATGTCCGTTTCTGCTGTTTGATGACAGATGGCGTTACTCTTACCGGCATAACGATATAATTACGTTTATGACAGTTTTTACTGGTGGTAGGAACTGTTGTGAGTCCGCGCGGGTAGGTACCACCACCCCGCCTATTTCTGCCGTGAAGCAGTAATTTGTTTCGGTTTGAAGGGTGCGGCAGCCGTTGTAACTATACTGAGACCTTAAAACTTATATCTCAAGATGGGTGGCACATTTACGTTATAGATGCTTATGGGCTCCAGTAACCACTTAACACCAGGTGGGCTGTGAGCTCGTCCATCCATCTAAGCAATAAAAAAAAGGAAAAAAAAACCGTTTTTTGGGTCAAGTTGAAACCGTCGCACTTTTCGCCTAGTCCGAGCCGGACGCGGGATAGAGTCACGTGTTCCATAGGGAACGCATCTCTCCCTCGAACTCTATTTGAGATTGTCGTTCGTCAAGATCTTTGGTCATTTCTTTGATCCCCGAAAAAAGATTATATCGACAACTGAAAGGCTATTTAGTTTGAGCGAGAGGCCAGAACAGCCATTTAAAGATTAAAATTTGAAAAAACTATCATAACAAAAACACTTCTTCAGTTATTTCTATGGATCAAACTTACTGAAGTTCAATAAGTATTGAACCGTTGATGCTAATACCAAATAAAACGCATCTTTAGTTACAAAGATAAATCTCGAATGGCTTTTCACCCTTCGATATGTTAAACCAGGCTATACCTTTAGGCTAATCTTCATCCTTTGGCATATACCTACCCACTTACACACACAGACACACACTTACTCACTTACTATGTACATTATAATTTATATAATATATATAATAATAACACATACACATTTACATTATAATCATAATACTAATAAGATATTTACATATTTATAAGAATTACATGCGACACCGCCACGATAAAATAACAGCAATAACCCAAATACGTCCAGCCATTTTTACGGGATTGACTCACAAACACACACAATTTAACCAACTTTAATGCAGACTAATATTCGTGTAGATTAAGCTGCGAACTTTTCGCGCTTCATCAGCGCTTTTTACCTTTACTCCGATTGATTAGGAGCTGAGTACGAACTTACTTTTTTGGTTCCATCGCCCGGATTTCCACTCCACATATCGAACTAAAAACGTTCTTAGCTTGACGTGAAAATCACGCAAACGTGTTCGTCTGGCTTATCAAAAACTTTATTTTGTTTCAGAATGTTCGACCGTCACCATTCATCCGGAACCAGCTGATGCTGACGAGCACGCTGCAACTAAAATCATAAATGCTGACACACCAGCGAGAATGGAAGAAAGGACCAATTTAAAAATCGAACAGAAAAAATATCAAGACGAAATTTACAATCCAGAAAACGATATTGCAGTCAAACATTCAAATTCACATAGTAATAGTTTAAAAAGATCAAAAAATAAATATATGAGGCATTTTAATATGAAAAACGAGGTGAAAGATAAAAGAAGAAATAAAAGATACGCTGACGATGAGAACTGCGAAGCTTTTCTTTACGATGAGAATGATAGCAGTCGTATTATAAAGCATCCTCACGCTAGTAACAGCACTACATACTACAATAATTCAAATTGTGTGACCATTGTTAGTAGTAAGTGTTTTACACGATTTACGTTTTTTATTAGCATAGATGAGTAAAGCTCACGGTATAAACTATGTTAAGATGTTAACCGATAAAAATCCAAGGCATTTATAGTTAAAAAGTTAATTTCTACCTACTGATTTATGATTATTGTTTTATCTATTTATGAATGTACAAATGATAAACTTTTGAATGATCTTATACATGTGTCTAATAAATATGTACATAAATTTTCTGTGAATCATTATTGGTCGATTGTTTCGTTTGCAGAAATAGGATGGATCGTTATAAAAACCTTACTCATTCTAAGCTTAATATAGGGAATTTTTGTTCAACCTGATTACTTACCATTCTAAAATACGAATTTAAGCTGAACCACGCTTACGATGAGAAATTTCGCATGATTCGCGCTGAAAATTGTTTAATTTGACTTAAATGGTTGCGCTTTGGGTAATGTCAGGAAGGGGAATTCCTAAAAAGACTTAGATACACTAAGGAACTACAAGAGTAAGGTGTGAGTGCAGATATATTTTTTTTATTGCCTTTGTAGGCAGACGTGCATACGGCCCACCTGATGGTGAGTGGTTACCGTCGCCCATGGACTTCAGCAATGCCAGGGGCAGAGCCAAGCCGCTGCCTACCGCTTAATACTCTCCACAAGCCTCGTTTGAAGAAGGACATGTCATAGAGCTCGGGAAACACCGTGGAGGGGAGCTCATTCCATAGCCGGATGGTACGTGGCAAAAAAGATCTCTGGAAACGCACTGTGGATATGAAGTATAATAGGCTTGAATAGACATAAGACATGCCATACAGACTTGAGATAGTAGAATGAGGGAAAAAAGAAGATTCGGATACTAATGGGTCCTAGTGATGGGTCACTTTCATCTAAAAGGCAGAGTTTAAAGTCTTCAAAAATACTGAGTACTCAGTACTAAGAAATGTGGCCCGTGATCTATAAATGAACTACCATATAATATAAGCAGAGAGCACTGATAATTTTCACATTATTTCTAAGTTTTTTTTATTTATTTTCAGCCACAGAAGGAAAGATTATTATCTTGACATTTATAGATGTTTTTCACATAGAATCACATCCAGACTGCGCGTACGACTATTTAGAGGTGAGATGCTTTTATACGGTATTCCTTGAAAAAATAAGGATTTGTGGCCTTATTATTCGTATTGTTTTTTTTTTCATAGCTGAGATGGGTGGACGAGCTCACAGCCCACCTGGTATTAAGTGGTTACTGGAGCCCATAGACATTTACAACGTAAACGCGCCACCCACCTTGAGATATAAGTTGTAAGGTCTCAGTATAGTTAAAACGGCTGCCCCATCCTTCAAGCCGAAACGCATTACTGCTTCACGGCAGAAATAAGCGCGGTGGTGATACCTACCCGTGCGGACTCATATGAGGTCCTACCACCAGTAAAACATCTAGTAGAGGTCCGACTAATAGACCCACCAAATCAGGACTACAGTGGAAGGTCCTTTAAATTAGAGCACCAAAATGGCCTCGAACAGGGAGAGATGGTGGGACATCGTAAGAAGCATTAAGTCTGCCCCCTTTAAGACTACATAATGACCAATCTGTCAAGAGTCAAACTATTAACAAGAAGTAGGACTAAGAAGTAATACTAGTATACTGTAAGAAGTAATACTAAGTTGCAGACTAGGACCATATTTCCCAAAGTAAATACGTACTTAAAAAGTGTTTGTAAATGACGTTAACCATGAGTAGCATGGTATGATAAAAATAATACCGTAAAATATATAAATTTGCGTTCTAATTGGTTGGCCATGTTGTGGACCCTTTGAGCAGATGTCACTATCCTGTCTATTTCTAAGCAATCAATTGAAATTTCGACCTTATGTCTTATTGGTATGGTGGCATTTGTGTTGTCTACGAGACCCGATAATCGCGATTGCTGTAAAGCAATAAAAATTATGAATGAATATAAAGATATTCTCATGTTTTTTTTAGTGCTTATATGGTTGGTTGTGTTAAAAGTTCTAAAGTCTCAGTATAGTTACAACGGCTGCCCCACTTTTCAAACCAAAAAGCATTACTGCTTCACGGCAGAAACAGGCAGGGCGGTGGTACCTACCCGTGCGGACTCCTAAGAGGGCCTACCGCCCGTAATTACGCAAATTATAATTTTGCGAGTTTGATTTTTATTACGCGACGTTATTCCTTCACCGTGGAAGTCAATAGTAAAAATTTGTTAAGTACGTATTTCATTAGAAGAATTGGTACCCGCCTGCGGGATTCAAACACCGCTGCATCGATAGATACGAATGCACCGGCTGTCTTATCCCTTAACTTAATTTTCATGTTGCTTTTTTCTTATTAGATTCGGGACGGTAAGCACGGATATTCCGATATTCTGGCCAAGGTGTGCGGCGAAGCCTTCCCCGAACAAATAAAAACGACTGGCCCAAACGCTTGGTTGAAGTTCCGTTCTGACGACACCATTGAGTACGAGGGGTTCACCATAAGCATCGATTTTGTGGCTGCTCCAAGTCGTAAGTCTGATGATTTTTGCCTCATCAATTTGGAGGGTTTTGTTATTCTCTGTGATCTATGCTGTGGGTTCCGTGAAAAGAAGATAATAAATAATATTTGAGATAATACTTTTAGCTATCGCGTAATCTGCAACCAAAGGCCTCCTTAGGCGGCAGATTCTGGTGATCATAGAACCAACTGGAACTTGTACTGCGGATATCTAAAGGGCTGTTTTTATTGCGTACATGGGTGGACGAGCTCACAGCCCACCTGGTGTTAAGTGGTTACTGGAGCCCATAGACATCTAGAACGCAAATGCGCCACCCACCTTGAGATATAAGTTCTAAGGTCTTAGTATAGTTACAACGGCTGCCCCACCCTTCAAACCGAAACGCATTTTTTTTATTGCGTAGATGGCTGGACGAGCTCACAGCCCACCTGGTGTTAAGTGGTTACTGGAGCCCATAGAAATCTACAACGTAAATGCACCACCCACCTTGACATATAAGTTCTAAGGTCTCAGTATAGTTACAACGGCTGCCCCACCCTTCAAACCGAAACGCATTACTGCTTCACGGCTGAAATAGGCAGGGTGGTGGTACCTACCCGTGCGGACTCACAAGAGCTTTTTGAGGGTCCACGTACTACCCGGCTGTCCACAAAACGAGTCCCGAGGAGAGGCTTCTGCGAAAGGCAAAGGCCTGACAGTACCCTTGGCATTTCTATGCGCATGAACGACGCTGACCACTTACCATCAAGAAGCCCTCATATTATCTAGATTCGAACGAAATATAATACAAAAATGGGTTCATCGGTGTCATCTTAACTAAGAACGCGTATTTTAATACGCTTTTATTAGCTTCAGACGTATGTATGTTAGTATGTAACGGAATCTTTGAACATGATTTTGACCCCCTTCAAAACGTCGGATTAACTCGAAATTCGGTATACTTATTAAGGACCGATGACAAATCAATAAAAAAATAAAAATAAAAAAAAAAGATTGAAAAAATTGAAATTCAATTAAAAAATTAAAGATAAATAATATTTAAAAACACTAACAAAATACGCTTTTATAGAAAATCCAACTAAAAAATTTAAATAAATTTTAATAAATTTGAATTAAAAATAGTCTAATAAAAAATGATTTTATTGTAAAAAAAACGTGGGGTGCTTTATATCAATAGTTATAAATATTTTAAGAACAGATATGAGCAGAAGGTTTATTTTAAAAATATCCTGAAAAGCACCCCACGCTTTTTTACAATAAAATCTTCATTTTTTTCTTACACTATTTTTAATTCAAATTTATTAAAATTTATTTTTAACTTAGCTTTTGTTTTTTCAGATAGCACGCCGGGCGCATGCTACAAGACATTGAGAGGGAAATACGGTGTTATTGACTTCAATGACACGAAAGGTCCCTGTCTCGACGGCACCACCAACCAATACATAGATTTTTTGTGGACCATTGAAACACCACCGAAGACAAAGGTATCACATCTAAGTATACTAATATTATAAAGCTGAAGAGTTTGTTTGTTTGTTTGAACGCGCTAATAAATTTTTACTGGTGGTAGGACCTCTTGTGAGTCCGCACGGGTAGGTACCACCGCCTCGCTTATTTCTGCCGTGAAGCAGTAATGCGTTTCGGTTTGAAGGGTGGGGCAGCCGTTGTAACTATACTGAGACCTTAGAACTTATATCTCAAGGTGGGTGGCGCATTTACGTTGTAGATGTCTATGGGTTCCAGTAACCACTTAACACCAGGTGGGCTGTGAGCTCGTCCACATATGTAGGCAATAAAAAAAAAAACTCAGGAGCTACTGGTCCGATTGGAAAAATTATTTCAGTGTTAGACAGCTCATCTATTGAGGAAGGCTATAGACGGCTAAAGCCAATACAAGTGGAGCACCAATAAAGAATGTTTCAAAATAGGGGTTTAAATAGCTCCTTAACATTCTATAGTTCCAAAATATTTTCACTTTCTACGTAAATGAAGTCCGGGGTAAAATTTAGCGTTATGCCAAAGTAACTATTCCACGCGAACGGAGTCGCGGGCAAAAGCTAGTTTATTATAAAGCTCTTCCCAACAATTACGCATCGTATATATGCTTTATTTTATTTTATTTGTTATTTCGTTGTAGGCTGCCTTTTTTTTATTCTACCTATGCTGATAGCCTTGATCCTATATCAGCTTCTTGACGTGTAGGTGAGCTCACGGGGCTCGAACCGGGTGTGTTGCTAACACTGGCCCTAGCAAGAGCAGTGCTTCGCAGAATCTACCAGTGGGTCGCGCGTTACGATCCGGTGGTAGATTCTTCGAAGCACTGCTTTTGCTAGGGCCAGTGTTAGCAACACACCCGGTTGTTATTGTTATGTATGCTTATGTATGTTTTGTGTTCGGGTTCTCCATTTAATTTGATTTTTCCTTTCTTTTTCTAATGTTTATTGTACTATCGTGTATACCACGTCTTAAATCTGTAGACACGTACCTAAAGCCTTGAATCCCGCAATAAGCCAAAGGGGGGACAAAAAATCAACGCTGTTCGATTCATCTACTTTGAACAACATTAGCTGAGCCACCTTCTTGTGACTTTTATTAATACGCTTTTATTAGCTTCAGACGTATGTATGTAACGGAATCTTTGAACATGATTTTGACTCCTTTCAAAACGTCGGATTAACTCGAAATTTAGTATACTTATTAAGAACCGATGACAAATTAATATTTTAAAAAATATTTAAAAAATTGAAATTCAACTAAAAAATAGAAAATAAGCTTTAATAAATTTGAATTAAAAATAGTGTAAGATAAAATGATTTTATTGTAAAAAAAAAGCGTGGGTTACTATTCAGGATATTTTATTTTTATTTTCTTTTATTTATCTGATCTGTGTGAAAGGCTTTTAAATGAACGATGAAATGATTTTATTATTATTATTATTATTGTTTATTGTCAAACTGTCGTTTATCTTTAAATATCCTTTTGAAACTTCACGATTTTGAGTATTTTTCCGCATATAATAGTTTCGCTCGACACTGATCAGCTGACTATCTATATTTTTTGTTACAGATTTACTTAAACTTCACAACTTACACTCTTGCGAGACCAAACGAGTGCGAATACAATGTGATACAAGTGTTCGGGACAGTCGTCGAAATGGATAAGAAGTAAGCGTTTTGTTGTTTTTAAGTACTGTTTACTAAGGTAAAAGGGGCCCGACCGAGAGGGCTGGTGGTCGTGGTTCCGACGACCGCCAGTCCGGCGTCCCGAGGGGGAGGGTGATGGGAGAGAAGTGAAAGAAAAAAAAAGGTAAAAGCGGGTTTTTCCTTCGATTCCCGGGGGCCGGAGGCGGGAATACGCCCGCACGTCCCGGCCCCTGTAGGTGGCGGCCTCCCCCCGGTGAAGGTCAAGGGGCGACCTGAGGGGGTGAGGCCGCGCGGCGCGCTACCAGCACTCTAGCGCGCTGCCGTGGAGTGAATAGAGCGACCGGTCGACGGTGTATCGCGTCCCGACCCGGCAGGCTGGTTCTGGTCCAGCGGGGTATTCCGGGACACCAGCGGCACCGTCTGGGCGGCCCGACGGGCTGCCGTACCGAGACGGCCGACGTTTCAGAGCCTTCGATTCGCCTCGAAGGCTCCGTCGGCTGGGCGTCCTTGGGGTGAGCCGCGCCGTCTGGTTGTAGTGTTGACCGCGGTAGCCCCCCTACCTCATCCGGGTTCTGACCTCGGAGGGGATCTGACGTCGGGTGTAAGAGTGCAGGGGGGTCGTTTAGTGGGTGGGCCCTAAAATCCTTGGGCCCGCGGTCTGCTCACAACACCATGCAGATCGTTGAGTCTCACATACCCCGCGCGCCCCTTTTACGCGGGGACCTCGTAGGAGGTTCGGCCCTCTACCGGAAAAAAAGGGTTTTTACTGGTGGTCGGACCTCTTGAGAGTCCGCACGGGTACGTACCACCACCCTGCCTATTTCTGCCGTGAAGCAGTAATGCGTTTCGGTTTGAAGGGTGGGGCAGCCTTTGTAACTATACTGAGACCTTAGAATTTATATCTCAATGTGGGTGGCGCATTTACGTTGTAGATGTCTATGGGCTCCAGTAACCACTCGTAAACCCGACTCTAGCTCACAAGCTACAAAGGAATTAAATCGTGCAATCAATAAAAACAATTTAAAAACCAGACAAGGTACTCACTAAAAATTTAACTAATCATTTTTTTAGTTCTATAATCTTGATCAGAATTTTACGTTAAAGTAATTTTGTATTTTCTTTTGATACGTAAACAAATTTTCAAATGAATCAGACATTTTGATGTTTATAAAAAATGAATTAGAATATCGTCGTTATCAAACCAAAATCACTTATGTGCACTTTTTGAGATTTTTACTTTTTTTTATTTTATTGTTTTGATGGATGGACGAGCTCACAGCCCATCTGGCGTTAAGTAGTTACTGGAGTCCATAGACATCTACAACGTAAATGCGCCACCCACCTCGAGATATAAGTTGTAAGGTCTCAGTATAGTTACAACGGCTACCCCACCCTTCGAACCGAAACGCATTACTGCTTCACGGCGGAAATAGGCAGGGTGGTGGTACCTACCCGTGCGGACTCACAAGAGTCCTACCACCAGTGAAAAACTTACTTACGTACTTTTTAACCTTTTCGTATATTACACAGCCCTATCTACCGTATAAAAAAACTGTTACGTGTCTATGGCTTTAATATTTATCTATAGCTTTCATTTGATATAGTTCTTAGAAATTCACTTTCATATAAATTTTTATACGAAAATCTTTTTACTCGTTAATTCAAAATAGAGTTTTTGCCCATAGCAAATTTTGGTTTGACAGCGACGATATACCGATATATATACGTAGATCCATAGAGTTTAAGCTTATAGGTGAATGAGGAGAGTCTGAGACCGGGCTCAGTGGGGTGGTTTTTTTTTTTTTTTTTAAATAAATAAATATTTTTATTTACTGACAATCACGCCACGTTAACTGGTCCCGTGATAAGTTCGTAAAGAACTTGTGTTACAGGTACCAGATAACGGAAATAAATATAAGATTTTTATTATACACATACATATATTTAATATACATCCATAACCCTGGAAAAGACATTTCTATATTTATCATACAAATATCTTCCCTTGGCGGGATTCGAACCCGCGACCCCCTTGTGTAGTGACCATGTCACTTACCACTACACCAGACGGCCGTTTTGGATTGGGAGAGATCTAAGTCTAACAGTGGACGACTGTGGGCTGATGATGATGATGATGGTGATGATAAAAACACGTTCAAAACTATCATATAACGCAGACTGGCCGCTTACTGTGGCTCCATGGCGTATTCGGTGACCACAAAAGATGAGAACGGCGACCCTGGGAACGTCATGAAAATAAGACTTCACCTGTCCAAAGACGGGTACAATGCAACACATTTTAACGCGACATACGTGGCGTTCAAAACACTGGATCCCAACAAAGATGGTGAGTTATTTCGGTAATTATATTCACAGGATCATAGGCCTCGCCTTCGAGCCGCCAAAGAGACGAACCCCGACAGATACAACAACTTATTTTAGCTTAAACGTTCAACTACTACCTGTTCATAGATTTAAGAAAACTGTCAAGGAACGTTTGTGCAACAAGGCATATTATAAAGTTAAGGATTATTTACTAGATGGCACTACGTGGGAATGAGGCGTTCGCTCCTGGCCTTTTCGTTTTTCATTATTATTATTATTTATTTGAATTGTATTTTTTGACTTGTTTTCTCGTATACTGTAAATATTTTTTCTTATTTAAAAAAAAAAAAGAAAATATTTGAGAAAAAAAAAAAAAAAAAACAAAGAAAGCCCGCTGAGTTTGTTTCGCCGGTTCTTCTCAGGACTGTGGCTTTTTTTGGGAACCAGTGGTAGAGTTAACATTTTCATTAATATTTTGACATTCAACAAGTGTGTTTTTGATGACATCCAAGTTGAAATAAATGATTTTGAATTTGAATTTGAATTTTGAATTTGCTATTTTTTGATGTATTATGTTTTTTTTTGTACTTTTGTTTAGTTTTGCAAATAAATAAATAACTAAATAAGTTAATAAATCTTAAATAAATAAATAAATCAGTCAACTATTATTTAAAAAAAAAAACAATATTTTTCACTGTCAATGACGTGCTAAGGCACGATTCTCTGCAATGCGATATGAAGGTATGTGACAGCAATGGTATTCTTCTTGTAACTGATTCCAATAATTATCCGATACCTACCAAAAAGGCCAAGAGCTAACGAGGATAGAATGTTTTTTTTAAATTGCTTATATGGATGGATGAACGACCCACCTGGTGTTAAATGCTTACCGGAGCCCATAGACATTTACAATGTAAATGCGCCACCGACCTTGACATATAAGTTCTAAGATCTCAGTATAGTTACAACGGCTGCCCTGCCCTTCAAACCGAAACGCATTACTGCTTCACGGCAGAAATAGGCAGGGCGGTGGTACCTATCCGTGCGGACTCACAAGAGGTCCTACCACCAGTAAAATCCAACTTCCAGTTTCAGAATAATACAAGTTTCAGTAGGACTGGACCACTATACGAAGGTTTTGTTGCAGACAAATGCGATGACGACCAATTCGACTGCACGGACAACACTTGTATATCTCAGGATCTGAAATGCGACGATGTAGCACATTGCCGACTTAAAACCGACGAAGACAAAGACACAACGTGTATTGTAAGTATGTTTTATTGCTTAAGGCGTGGCAGCTGTAGGATTCGCAGCCGTTTTTTTTGCTTAGATGGGTGGGCGATCTCACAGCCCACCTGGTATTAAGTGGTTACTGAAGTCCATAGATATCTGGAACGTAAATGCGCCACCCACCTTGAAATATAAGTTCTAAGGTCTCAGTATAGTTACAACGGTGCTACGAACATGCCTTAATACCAATGACTATGGTGGTAACATATACTTATAGATACTTTTCTATTTATTTCTGTAGCTGCGATGCAGTTAAGCATCCATGTTTAAGAGGTAATGCAGATGGAACAACAAATCCTTTTTTTTACGAATCATTTTTTTTTTTTAAAAAACAATCACGCCACGTTATCTTTCCCGTGATAAGTTCGTAAAGAACTTGTATTACAGGTACCAGATAACGGAAATAAATGTAAGATTTTTATTATACACATACGTATATTTAATAAGCACCCATAACACTGGAAAAGACATTTATATTTATCATACAAATATCTTCCCTTGGCGGGATTCGAATCCGTGACCCTCTTGTGTAGTGACCATGTCACTTACCACTACACCAGACGGTCGTTAATCTTTACTCGTAATATCCTTGTTTTCAACTTTCTGACCGCAATTGGGTGAACTAGTTACCCAGTGGCCGTAGACACCATAATGTGAATCCCATCACGCATTATAAGACAAAAGCTCAAAACCCCGTTCTTATTTTTTACCAGTGGTAGGACGTCTTGTGAGTCCGCACGGGTAGGTACCATCGCCCTACCTATTTCTGCTGTGAAGCAGTAATGCATTTCAGTTTGAAGGGTGGAACATCCGTTGTACTGTAAAAACTGAGACCTAACAACAATATCACAAGGTAGGTGGCGGAATTTACGTTGTAGATGTCTATTAGCTCCATTGACCACATAACATCAGGTGTAAAGTAATAATTAAAATCTGCATAGAATAGTCGATACTTATAAATGAAGTCATGGGAGCATACGCGGCATAAAACATGTAATGTTTAAGAAAATATACCACAGCTGTGTGTGTACTTATCCTTTTCTTTATAGCTAACTGCCCAATCTGTATTGAACACGCCACATATCATGGTCATTCTGATAATATTCTCGCTGATCTTGTCCGGGATGAGCTTCGTTTTCCTCTTCAAATGCATCAGGAAGTTGTACCTCGAACACAAGATCATTAAGGTAAGATTGTTTTAGGGTGGACAGGTAAACAAGAGCGGCTTACTTTGGCCACACTTGAACCAATAGACGTTAAGGCCTCCACCGATTTTGAAGCGTTAGGTCAAAGGTCTAAAAACATTGGCAGAGTCTTTTCTGAGTCTGGACGCATTAATGCGCTGAGTCCTAAATTCGTAGATAGAGGTTATTTTAATACGCTTTTATTAGCTTCAGACGTATGTATGTTAGTATGTAACGGAATCTTTGAACATGATTTTGACTTCCTCCAAAATGTCGGATTAACTCGAAATTTGGTATACTTATTAAGGACCGATGACAAGTCGATATTAAATAAAAAAAATAAAAAAAAATTGAAATTCAACTAAAAAATGAAATATAAATACTATTTTTTTTTTAAAAACTAACTAAATACGCTTTTATAGGAAATCCAACTAAAAAATAAAAAATAAATTTTAATAAATGTAAATTAAAAATTGTGTAAGAAAAAATGATTTTATTGTAAAAAAAAAGCGTGGGGTGCATGGTATAAGTAGTTATAATATTTTATGAACAGATATGAGTAGAAGGGTTATTTTGATAATATCCTGAAAAGCACCTGGCTGGCACCTGGATTTTCTATAAAAGCGTTTTTTTTTTAAACTATTATTTATTTACTGAGCGATTTTGTTGTGCTGATAACATTTGTGTCATGAACAAGTTTTTTTTCTCTTCGCCTAGGTGCTGATTTATTTTTATATGTATATATTTAAACATATATATGTATGATTACCAGTTTCTGGTACCCATAACACAGAAAATCCTAAATTGGGGCTGAACGACCTTGCGTGATTCGGTCCAGTTATAGTTTTTATTTCTCTTTGGAAACCGTCACGGCACACATAGTACGTCAGTACACATTTACAAAAGTTATTTTACCTTCTAACACCTTAACTTTCCACAATAAGTTCCGGCCACTAAATTTTTTAAGCCTTATCAACGGAATACTCTAAGCTCCCTCGAAAATATAGGAACATTTGAGACAGTCCTGCGAAGACAGACTCGACACGTTGGTGAGCAGTCGGCTGACGTTAGACGCGAAGCGACTTCATCAGGACAGTCTCCCGAGAGCCAGCCTCGAGAGGGAGAACCACACCAATGAGATGTACAAACAGCAGAGGAGTCATTCAAAACATAAGGTAGCACGCAACTACAGTTAAACTATATGTGTGTTCGAAACCAATCTGTAATGTTCCAAACTAATCTGTGGTTGCGAATTGACACAGGACGTTTTGGCGGGAACGCGAGGAGTGAAGTCGCGTGATTTGTTTTATTTTGTCTATTTAGTGTTTCTTCAGGTTTAATAACTGTTTAATATCTGTGAAAGTGCATAAATGTGGGAAAATGAAACAAAGCTGCTGGACGTAACTTCTCGGGATCCTCTAAAAAGTCATTTGAAAAAGTTTCAGTAAATGACCACCATTTTGCTGAGATTATATTTCATCCTACATCGTCTCATTTTATTAAATTTCATCCCAGTTGATTCATGTCTCAAATTAACCATCTTCATATCATTTCGTTCGAACAGAATGGTACATTTGTGTGACGGTCTTGCTACTGTTTGCTTCGGTTTCGCCATCCATAATTTTGCTCCCAAATCCCAGCCCTAAATTACTTTCAAACCCAAGTACTGTTATAACAATATTACAATTATTAACGAACATGGTCAGATGAACTCAGAATCCACAGCTTATCAAGTCCATAGATATAACACTCAATAGCCAACCGCCAAGAATTATGTTTGTTAAAATAACCAATCAAACCGTATTGTAGTTATAACTAGTCTACCAAAATTTCAATAAACCATAGATCACTTACGTAACTATATAAATATTATATATTCGACTAGCCATACTCGCCCGCTTCGCTGGACATTTAAAATTAACATTATTATTTATTGTCATTATTATTAGGGAGTCCAACACTCATATAAATATTAGCCTATCCATTAAGTACATATATTTTCTACATGGGTACCAAGTTTGAAGTCAATCGGATGCATGGTTCAGTAGTTATAACGGAACATCCGTAAAAACCACTATAGATTTAAATACTAGTATAGATAAGGATAAAATTAATAAAGTATTTCATTCAGCAATCCAGTATAGATTCCGACTACATACAAGAAACTCAACTGGACATAGAAGAGGAACCCTGGAGAAGAGAAGTAGATAGTGTCCCCGTTGAAATGGAAAACGTAAGGCTAGAACGAAACGGAAGAACCAGAAGTAGTGATTTAAGCAGAAAAGAAGAGTACATTAGGAGTAAGAGAAAAGAGAGCGAAGATGTTAAGGAGAAGAGGGAGATAAGAGACGTGTCTGTTGGTGCGCCGGACACGAAGGAGTCCGGCTGTCAGACCAGAGAAAGTCTTTTCCAGTCTGAAGAACCTCCGAGTTCTGATGGTGAGTGTGAAAAGTCCTGATCACTTAAAACTAATTCATGGCTTCAAATCTGTTGAAATACTAGTTGGTTAATAGTTTGACGAAGCATGTTGCTAATAACTCTGTTTCTATAATCTGACGAAGCGTGTTGCGGATAATAATAATTCGATGCTTGAAAGGCAAAAGTGACTAAGCGACAATGCGTGAACTTTACAGTAGACTAATTTAAAGTTGAAATACCTGAAAAAAATTCTATTTTAAAGAATCTAGCCGTATGATTGAAATGATTTTAATAGACCTAGAAATAATTTTTTTTTGCGCATCGAATATGATTATTGCCTATCATTTATGTACAAATCAGTTATTGTCGCTTAGTCACGTTTGCCTTTCAAGCGTCGATAATGTACTTTTAGGTTATTTTACCAGGTGACATTAACAGCTGTCAGTTCATTACAAAAAGGTTTTTTGTCTATGGTCAATAGCTCTGGTGAAAATTATTTACCGTAGACAATATTGTTATATGTTAGAATTGGTGTGAAAATGAGATTAAAAACACAATGTTAAATGTATCAGCTCAGTTATCTAAAAGAACTAGTGGTCCCGCAGTAGTCGAAATTCGACTATAATTAATTGAAATTATAAGTTTGAACATTATTATGGTTCTATTGTCAAAGACTAGTTATTATACTTCTATAATCACAGATTTCGCCAAGACTACACTTTAGACAAATATAAATTTTTAATCAATAAACAATTAATATTTAATCTATTCTCAATTTGACCATAGACTTTATGCAATAAGAAAAGTTTGACGATAAACAAATAGTACGCATGCGTGTGTATCAAATACATGGTAGTGTGTGTAATGTTTTCTTTATTGATTTAAAGTATCTCTTAAGCATTATTTTTAAAAAATAATAGCATTGTGCACTCCTTCTCTATATTCTCTATAAGTGTGGGAAATTTCATACTCCTCCGTTCGCGCAATTTCCGTAAAAAGGAGTACAAAGTTTTGGGTACACGTATTAATATATAGATAAACACATTAAATTATTGGATCACAATTAAATAACGTTAATATATCTTATTAACTTATACTCCTGAGAGAATGAATTCTTTGAACACGTTGACAGAAACAAAGGTAATTTATTAAAGTATTCAGAATATTTCTAATAACTAGAGGTCCAGCAGTAGCCGAAATTCGACTATAATTAATTGGAATTGTAAGTTTGTACACTATTATGATTGTATTTTATACTTCTATAATCACAAATTTCGCCAAGGCTAAACTATAAAAAAATATTAATAAAGACAAACAATAATATTTAATCTATTCTCAATTTGACAACAAACGTCAAGAGACAAAAGTTTGACAATAAATAGTATACATGCGTGTGTGCGTCAAATACATGGTATATAGTGTGTGTAATGTTTTCTTTATTGACTTAATGTATCTTTTATGCATTATTTAAAAAATAATATTAGCATTGTGCACTTCTTCTCTATATTCTCTATAAGTGTGGAAAATTTCATACTCCTCCGTCCGCGCAATTTTCGTAAAAAGGGATACAAAGTTTTTGCTTCACGTATTAATATATAGATACTCAGACTGTCGATTTGGGTTGTAATGGAATAAAAAATTGAGCGCACAGACACTAAGCCTTAAATACACTCAATTAGGTACCAAAAGCTCAATCCGCAATCGTTTTAATAATTGATTCTTAGTTCTTTAGTTCTGATACCAAAATTCGATCTTAATTAGATGCCACTATTTACCATGTGTGTAAAAATAATTAATCGGTTTTCTTTCCCTACCTATTCACTGGTAGCCTAAGGGGCTATTTCAACTAAATAATTGCGTTACTAATTTAATCACAATTTCAATTCAGTTTACGTTAAAATCCATAGCTTCGTATTTATTTACTGGTGGTAGGACCTCTTGTGAGTCCGCACGGGTAGGTACCACCACCTCGCCTATTTCTGCCGTGAAGCAATGATGCGTTTGGGGTTTCGGTTTGAAGGGCGGGACAGCCGTTGTAACTATACTGAGACCTTAGAACTTATATCTCAAGGTGGGTGGCGCATTTACGTTGTAGATGTCTATGGGCTCAAGTAATCACTTAGCACCAGATGGGCTGTGAGTTCGTCCACCCATCTAAGCAATAAAAAAATGTATGTTCACCAAACTTAATTCCTTATCCAGGCTCGGGAACAAATAGCAGAGGATTCTCGACCTTCGGCTACTCAGGCGGCACGGTGGTCAGGCCTTCGCCCCCAACGAAGACTTCTGAAATAACAATAGAACTAACAAAACAGACTCCTAGACAGGAGTCCATCAAACCGCGTAAGTTTCACTTCGTTCTATTGTAATTTTTTTTATTGCCCTTGTAGGCAGACGTGCATACGGCCCACCTGATGATACCTGATGGTGAGTGGTTACCGTCGCCCATGGACTTCAGCAATGCCAGGGGCAGAGCCAAGCCGCTGCCTACCTATTGTATTTTTACCTTCGACATTAACGCCATTAAATATCGCGTTATAACATATCGACTGGTGAAATGCTATTTGTTATAAGGGACATCTTTGCAACATTACAGAAAAGCCAAAGTTGGAAAAAAAAAATAAAACAAAAAAAAAACTTCTGGGCTATTTGAATTGAGTAAGCTTAATTTAAGTTCAATTACGGATCGAACTATTTATGTTAATACCGAATAAAACGCACCTATAATTATAAAGACTAGAGGTCCCGCAGTAGTCGAAATTCGACTATAATTAATTGGAATTGTAAGTTTGTACACTATTATGATTGTATTTTATACTTCTATAATCACAAATTTGGCCAAGACTACCCTATAAAAAAATATTAATAGAGACAAACAATATTTAATCTATTCTCAATTTGACAACAGACGTCAAGAACAAAAGTTTGACAATAAATAGTATGCTTGCGTGTGTGCGTCAAATACATGGTATGTAGTGTGTGTAATGTTTTCTTTATTGATTTAATGTATCTTTTATGCATTATTTTAAAAAAATATTAGCATTGTGCACTTCTTCTCTATATTCTCTATAAGTGTGGAAAATTTCATATTCCTCCGTCCGCGCAATTTTCTTAAAAAGGGATACAAAGTTTTTGCTTCACGTATTAATATATAGATACCGAATAAAACGCACCTGTAATTACAAAGTTAAATGTCGCGTATTAAGCGACATTTCGCTTAATGCGTCGCCTTTCACTCTGTGATATGTAATTACAAAATTTAGAAACAAAATCCGTTCGACTAATTTTTTTTCTGAACTATATATTTATTTATTTGGGAAAGAAACAGTACAATACAAACATATGATAATAAAAAAAAATAGCTTAAACAATAACCAAATATATATATATATATTTTTTTTTTATTTATTGCTTAGATGGGTGGACGAGCTCACAGCCCACCTGGTGTTGAGTGGTTACTGGAGCCCATAGACATCTACAACGTAAATGCGCCACCCACCTTTGAGATATAAGTTGTAAGGTCTCAGTACAGTTACAACGGCTGCCCCACCCTTCAAACCGAAACGCATTACTGCTTCACGGCAGAAATAGGCAGGGCGGTGGTACCTACCCGCGCGGACTCACAGCAGGTCCTACCACCAGTAATTACGCAAATTATAATTTTGCGGGTTTCACTTTTATTACACGATGTTATTCCTTCACCGTGGAAGTCAATCGTGAACATTTGTTGAGTACGTATTTCATTAGAAAAATTGGTACCCGCCTGTGGGATTCGGACACCGGTGCATCGCTTCAATACGAATACACCGGACGTCTTATCTTTTTAGGCCACGACGACTTCCACAATCAAAATCACATATAAGTAGAAATTGAACAGAAAAGAGAAATTTAGAAATTTAAGTTACAAAAAAACAAAAGCAACACAATACGCACATATTATTTTGTACATTAACTTACACTATAAAACTATAATACTCATCGGACTAAATCACCTTATAAATACTTTAATATAGCTTTTCTATATATACATATACATATATCTGTATATGTGAATCGGTTCACGAGCCATCTGGTACTACTAGGTTCTATAGATGTGGTTGTCTGGGTGGGTAGTGGCATTCCCATTATCATCTCTAGAGGCTCTGACGACCACCTAATCAAAACTAGAAGCGTTACTACTCAAAGATTCCACCACTTCAGCTCGTTATAGTCTAGATTTGAATTAAAGAACTCAAAACTTTGCCACAGCGAAGACTTGGTGATCAAATTTCAAAACTGCCGGTAATTATTCGGGTTTGATTCGTCAAAGCAAAGGATTCCATTGAGCGCTTTGAAGTTCAGTTGGAATCTAGTGAATTTTGTCTCAAACGGAGCAAGCAGAGTCGGTCGGTTTTGTTCGACGAAATTCGAATTTAATGACGACGATGTGGTGAAATGTTCTCTAGACTATTTAAGGAGAGGTAGCGCTTAGTTGTAGTGATAGTGGTTTTTTTCCTACCTAAGCCTTGAGAGACTATTTCAGCGTAGCCTTAACTAGTGGGTGAGCTCACGGGGCTCAAACCGGAGTGATGTTAACACTGATCCTAGCAAGAGCAGTGCTTCTCAGAATCTACCACCGGATCGGAAACGCGACCCACTTATTTATTTATTTTTTATTGCTTTGTTGGGTTTACGAACTCACAGCCCACCTGGTCTTAAGTGGTTACTGGAGCCCATAGACGTGCACAACGTAAATGCGCCACCATCTTGAGATATAAGTTCTAAGGTCTCAAGTATAGTTACGACTGCCCCTCCCTTCAAACCGAAACGCATTACTGCTTTACAGCAGAAATAGGCAGGGTGGTGGTACGCGGACTCACAAGAGGTCCTACCACCAGTAAAAAGTGAGAAGATCCGGCGAGAAACTCAGTGGGCTGTGTCTATGGGTAATTCGCTCGCCGAGCCCTTCGTCGCAAGCGATGGGTTCGACAAGGACGGTGACCGGAGATAGTGCTATAGTGGTAGTGTTGTTACAGAAAAGAAATTACCAGACCGCCGGCCAATCAGCGCGGAGACCACGCGGTCCGCACCTGACGTCATCATAGTCTCCAAGCCGGTTCGCTGAGAACGGCCCCCGCGCCGCGCGACCCCCCCGCGCCGCGCCCCCCTCGCCCCCACCAGGACCGTCTCGTTCGAGGACCACAGCGGCTACTACAGCCAATACTTCGACGAGGAACCGAAATTGTTTTGCGACTACTGCTTAAAACCTGATTACTGTAAGTCGAACACATTACCAAGGAGCACTGGACCGTACGTGGACTACAAAAGGGTCTATCCGCGGAAAAGTGTGTGTTTTTATGACGATAGACATGCCGATACGTTTTTAGTGCACGCGGACGTCGAACCACACAGATAACGAATGTTTTAGCGTTGTCAATTATAAGGTTATATGTATTACTAAACTTGGCTGTATAGTAAAGAGAATTAGGCTTGATCTATGTGACGTGACGATCTAAATTTGAAATGTAAATGAACTATATATTAAATGAACTATATATGAGTCGTCTATTATCAAAGGTGGCAATCTGTGCATTTGGACAAAAAAAATTTATTGATATGTCAATACAGATTTATTTGAATATAATCGTCTCCTTCAAAGAATACGGTTCAAAACCTGCATTAAATAAAGGTTAATAGTTAACCTGTTATTTATCTAAGATGTCGTTCCGAAGAGTTTTGTGACTGCCAATGGAATACAAAGTCAATAATTCGTTTTTCTGATTTACCAATCATTGTCCAAAAGTCAGATTGCCGGCTTTGATAATAGTCGACTCATATATAGTTCATCCATCATTTGTATAATCACGTAACTTTGAGCCTTACTGTTTCTGATACAATGCAGTTGAAGCCTTTATTTCATATATCAAGGTGAACTACGGTATTCGAATGGGCTCAGAACTCGCCTGCCTATCCTCAACAATAAATGCTGTAATATTTTTCTTACATTATTATTGTAATTGTATAGTCTTGAGATCAAATTTTTATGAAAATTTAATGATTATTTTTATTTGGATTTCGCGAACTGTAGACATAATTAAAATAACTTTCACGTCGTTACGTTTGTGACCACGAAAAGTGTAAAGTATTTTGCAAAATCCGATATAGTGTAATGACGATAAAAAATGCGAGATAAAACCGTAAAAAGTAATTTGAATCATGTAAAGATTCGTCAGAAATATAGAGCAGCGTGAAGTATCAGTTGAGTTTAATTCCAATCCCACTGCATCTATACTTAATATTATAAAGAGGAAAGATTTGTTTGTTTGTTTGTTTCGAATAGGCTCCGAAACTACTGGACCGATTTGAAAAAATATTTTTCCATTAGAAGCCGACATTGTCCCTGATGAACATAGGCTACTTTTTTTATTTATTTTTTATTTTTATTTTTTTTTGGTTTCATTTGTGTTTTAATGTTTCCGAAGCGAAGCGAGGGCGGGTCGCTAGTTCATTAATAAATTGCTGCTTATCCTAATAACCTCTAGGGGCGATAGATACTAGGTTCATCTAGCCTGATTTTCTGTGTGCCTAGTGCGAGTTTTTTAACGCTCTCGCTAGCGTGAAAGTTAACTCTAAAGTATGCAATTGGAACAGCGCCCCTAGCGGCAAACATAGGCAAACTTTTCAACACCACACAAGTTTGAGTTAACTTTTACGCTATCGAGAACGTTAAAACACTCGCACTAACCACACTGTTTAAAACTTTCTGTATTATGATTAACTTACGTGTTTATTGACTTATTGCATTATCTAACAGTGAATCAAAGGTGATTCATAAAAATCACGGTAGATGCATTTCGTAAATAAAATAAACAAACTTTTTTTTATTGCTTAGATGGGTGGACGAGCTCACAGCCCACCTGGTGTTAAGTGGTTACTGAAGCCCATAGACATCAACAACTTCCAAACGCTTATTCCAATATTTAAATACGTACATGTATATATAGACGCTTGAAAGGCGAACGTGACTAAGCGACAATGCGTGAACTTTACAGTAGACTAATTTAAAGTTGAAATACCTGAAAAAAATTATATTTCAACGAATCTAGCTGTAGGTTTGAAATGATTTTAATAGACCTAGAAATATATTTTTTTTTGCGCATCGAATATGGTTATTGCCTATCATTTATGTACAAAGCAGTTATTGTCGCTTAGTCACGTTTGCCTTTCAAGCGTCGATATAATATATTTTACAATAATATAACGTAAACTTAAAAAAAAAACAACTAAAAACACTGCGGACTAATCGCATCGAATCAAGAGGGTCCTTTTCTAAAGTCGGTCACGGAAACATGAATGGGTCCCGCCTAATTCTCTTGCTTTTAATCATTAATTTCTTGTTTAATTAAATTAAGCTTTTGATTTCGCGAGCATTTCTTAAATTGGCTCCTATTTCGGAACACAAGACAAAGTGAATGGCACGAAAATTTTCCAGCCGATACTTAGACGAAAACTGTTTTAATTGTTTGAATATTCGGTTGATCATTACGAAATTCATTGGTTCGTTTCTTTGTATAACTAATCAAATTAAAGTACTGATTTAGAGTTACAATACCTTTTGTTATTTTGCGCGTCCTGACTCGTGGATGGATAGATATGACGGAATTATCTCAAATAATGCTTCGATAATATGGTAGGTAAGCGGCTTGGCTCTGCCCCTGGCATTGCTGAAGTCCATGGGCGATGGTAGCCACTCACCATCAGCTGGGCCGTATGCTCGTCTGCCTAAAAGGGCAATAAAAAATAATTAAAAAAATTTTGTCGATATCAGCATTATCAGCACATAGAGAAACTACTTTTTTGATCTTTACTTTAGCTTCTACTCATTTGAAAAGCTTTGGCATGAGCGATAGCCCGCCCATCAAATTATAGAGATATCTCTACATTTTCCCATAGGAATGCAGATCCTGCAGGACCACGACCGCTCGTTGTCTCTATGTCCAGTATGAAAGTAATCTGCATTGGTAATATCCATTTGGCTCTATTGAATAAATCTCTTAGCACTAGACTTGGAACTTGAGATCTTAGAACTTATATCTCAAGGTGGATGGCGCATATACGTTCTGGATGTCTATGGGCTCCAGTAAGTACTTAACACCAGGTGGGCTGTGAGCTCGTCCACCCACCTAGGCAATTAAAAAAAATAAAAAATAGACTAGACAACAAGCCCAATGCCCATCTGATATTAAGTGGTTACCGACGAAGTCGAAGCAATCTAATGCAGTATTATATACCTATGCTCATGCCTGTGAGGATAAAATATACGCATATACAGTGTATATTATATATTATAAATATGCGCATTAAATAGACCCATCGCTTGATACCAGGACGCAGAGTCTTACCAAATGGTAAGGCCTCATGAACTATTTAGACCTAAATGTCTTCAAGCTATGTAATTAATTAATATTTGCGGCACTAGAACTTCTGAAAAAGCTTTACTATCTTCATTTCTCAATGCGTGCTGGATAAATCCCCTTCAGTCTTCATCGATGTACGGAGATCTGAACAATATTAACTGGAAGAAAATTCGATACGAGATTTTTAAATTATATCGAATTATATATATTTTTTTAAGGTTTTGCATTTCTTTAGGGATGTCAATTCAATTTATTATTCAACTTTTTTTTTGGTTGTCGTAAATCTAAAATAGCGTGGCTTATATCTAGATCTAGACGTGACTAAGCTAACCTTAACATTTTTTTGTTAAATTGTCAAATAACTAAGAAGGTTACGAACTGGGTTTGACGTCACGCTTATGGTGCGTGCGAGAGGGACAGCTAGATGCTCCAAACACGCACTCTCTCTTTCTAATTCAAATGACGTGTATTTTAATGGCTACCATTCATGACTACCTCATCTCACCGATAAGGCCGACAGGTGGTAAGTGGTAGGAATTCTTATGAGTCCGGTCTAGGTACCACCACCCTGCCTATTTCTGCCGTGAAGCAGTAAAGTGTTTCGATTTGAAGGGTGGGACAGCCGTTGTAACTATGCTTGAGATCTTAGAACTTATATCTCAAGGTAGCTGGCGAATTTACGTTGTAGATGTCTATGGGCTCCAGTAACCACTTAATGCCAGGTGAGCTGTGAGCTCGTCCACCCATCTAAGCCTTAAATAAAAAATAAATCATGCATATTTCCAACGCCAGGAGACTCTTTCAAAGCTCGACTTAATCAGCATACGTCATTGTGCCCCGGAAACAGCTAGTAATTACGCCATGCCAATATTTTCACTGTTGTAGATTGTCAAGCAAGCTTACGACCCTACTGGTGTTAGGAGTCATTTCGCGTCTCTGAGATATGAGGTGACTTATGTTGCAAAATAAAAGAACATGCGAAATAAAATACTAACTTCATCTCTACTGTTGTTTGTTGTCGTCACAACTAAAAACTTAGACCAATTGAAAAGATAAATTATCATAGTTTTAAGGAATAATGCGACAGTATAATGTGTAATGGTCCCTAAGTGCAGTGTTGGAAGTCTTAAAATATGTTTTGTGAGTGATAAACGCTTTTAAGTCTGGTGTTTTAACTTGCTTCAAATTTCCTAACCACTAATTAATTTTTCTTGTGACTTGTAGTCCGTAGTATATTGATACATAGAGCCTTCACGAGATGTCTCTGCTTAATTAATCCCTCAATTTATAATGTAGCATTTAAATCAGATTTCCCGAGTCGCGAAAATAATTAAAACAATTTTTACGGTTTAGGCGTTTCAGTCCTCGGTGGCCACGAAAACTGTATTCGAAACATCGTAATGACAATAAAAAACACGAGATCAAACCGTAAAAGTTGTTTTAAAAAAATATTTTTCATTATTTCTACCAAATGTTTTTTTTTTTGTTTTTCCCTTTGAACGCAGACGAGCATACGGCCCACCTGATGGTAGGTGGTCACCGTCGCTCATGGACGTCAGCAAAGCCGCTGCCTACCAAATTGAATGAATTGAAAATGAAATTAATTTTGAAGTTGTTATATTTAGTACTGGGTTAGTGGTGTTTCTTCAAATGTACTTATGGTTTTTTCTTGTTATAAAAAAAACAGTATTTTATTATACACGTAAAGACATAGAAACAAAGACTAGTTTTTTTCAAATTTTAATAAATTGTAATGTTATGTAGCGATTGTTAGCAAAATGTTTGCTTTCATTCAAAATGATTGAACACAAGAAATATAGAAGAGACTCAAAACAAAAATTCCATAGAAAAGCAAATTGAACAAAAAATACTACTTAGCTGATTAAACCAATGATTCTCATTATTCTCCTGCCCTTCTCCCAATCACCTGGGGTCGGCGCAACATGTTTTCTCCTTCCATACTCCTCTATCATATAGCATTTCTTCGCTCAATCCTCTCTTACACATATTGTCTTTCACGCAATCTATCCATTTCTTCTTAGGTGCTTCCTCTTCCTCTATACCCTTCCACATTCATAGTTAACATTCTCTTACCAACCTCATAGTCATTTCGTCTCATCACTGTCCATACCATACCAAACGCGCACTTCTCAGCTTCTCTGCCACAGGTGATGTC